AAAATGATTTAAAGAATTATTTAAAAATATATTATACATATATGAAGGAGAGTGACAATGATGAGTAGTGGGGCGAGTCGGAGAGAAAGAAGGGTAGAATTTAACTTGGCGTACAAATGATACGTGTCATTAGATTTAAGAAAATAATAAGGTAAAAAAGACAACAGTTCCCTTCTCTTCTTCTTCAGTAATACCCAACAGTTCCGAACTTACGTCTGATTTGACTAATAATAAGTCTAACTGAAACATGTACTTGAATACCTCATTATGTATGCCAAGATTTTTTATATATATATTAATTTCCATTTCATTATCTTGCAATATTTAATACCATGCGTATACTTTGTTTTTTATATATAAATTTGAAGTTGTTTTACGCCTGAAGAATAGCTAAGTTAAGCCGAAACGTATCGTCAGTATATCATGAATAAATTTATTGTTATCGGCCATCTGGGTGTGCTCGTTTTAATTTAATATTTGACATTAATTAATTTTATTTATTACTTAGCATATACACAAGTGGTAACTATGATAATTTATCATATGATCATATAATTTTTATAAAACAATTATCTTTTCTTTCTTTCACAAATTCGAAAATCCTCTTCCGAAATTAAATGCATACGCATTAATATGTCTGTGGAGTTTATGTCGAAAGCGTCAAAAAATTTTTTAATTAAAATCTATCATTTCTTAGTTTAATATGGCACTTTAGAGCTGCCACATCGTGACAATGTTTGCTTCATATAGAAAAGGTACATAACCAATACTTATGAAATAAGAGTAGTCCACACTTGTGTAGTGTATACGAAGAAACAACGTGGAGTTTTTAGAATTGAATTTACAATTAGACGTCTAATTAAAACGTTATTGTTTTACACAAAAATTTATGTATATGTGTGCGTGAGATATTGTAATAGTACATGTAGTGTCAGTAATACGTAAATCATCCGTGTGCAAATCCTACTTACAAAAGGTGACTAATCACCTTTTTAGGGCCCCTTAGTTTCTTTTTCTTAAAATTAGAAAAAGATAAAGTTAATTCTCTCGCGGTTTAATTTATTATTTCATATTTTTTTAATTAAATAATTAGAAAAAGATATAGTTAATTCTCTCACGGTTTAATGTATTACTTTATATTTTTTTAATTAAAAAATTAGAAAAAGATAAATATAATAAATCAAAGTTACAGAGATTAAAGTTACTCATACATTGGTAGAAACAATCCTTAATTGTTTCAAGCAAAATACTTGCGATCATAAAATTCATTCTTAACCTAATCTTTCTTTCCACAGAAATAAAAAATTGTTTTATCCAACGTCGGGAAGTATTTAATAGCTAAGACTCACTATTATCTATTATTTCTCGATAAATTAATCGCTAATTAGTGTCCGTTTCGTACTAATGTATAGATTAATTTTAATCTCAATTCAATTTTATCTTTTTCTAATTCTCAGAACTAGAAAAAGATAGTTGAACCGAGATTAAAATTAAACGGCATTGGTAGAAACGAGCATAAATGAATCGGACTTAAGTTCTAGGTTTCAAGATAACAGAAGTCGTAAGATAACAGTTTTAAGCCGCGTAAAAAACGTCAGGCTAAAACATAACCTCAATGCAAATCTACGGAAACGTACTCGTATCAGTAAACCAGGATAAGGGAAATCAAAGAGCTTCGTCAATCGTTTGAAAAACAGATGCCAGATGGAACACCGTATTACTTTTTACAAATCTGTTAACTCTTGTTAAGGTCCGCCCTTGACAAGTGAAAAATAACAAATGAGAAACAATGTGAGAGAAATATAAAAGAGCGAAAAGATGCACGATAAAAGGGAAGGTTAAATGGATGATAAAGGGAAGAGAGACACTTCAGAGAGCTCAAGATTTACCTTTCTGTCGTCGACTTGCAGCATCGTCGCTCGAATTGTATTCAGACGTAAATTACTCTTTACGTTGCAGCGAAGGTCACAACAGGTAGAAACAGAAATCGAACACTTGTCGTATTCGATCGCTTCCGAATTACGTGGCCACCTAAGCACCGTACAAATTCCTTCGAACTATTACGAAAGAATCCATATTTTTATCTCGAACGATATTCTTGATCACAAAAATATGCCTGTTCGTGACGTGCCTTGTGGTCGGTAAGTAGAGCTACAGTAACTGATTTTACCGACGAGGTGATCACATCACGATCGACACGATCTTGGTGAGCATATTCAAATGAAACGTAATGAAGAGAAAAGACAGAATATATTAGGCAGCGAAAACACTCCCCTTTTTGAAGAGAAATTTACCGCGTTATTTACTATACAGAACTTTGATAGAAACGTATATATATGTTAAAATCAGCGATCGTGTGATTACGAGAGCAGGAGTGATAAATTTAAATTTATGCGCGTTATTCTTATGTATATATGGACTGACGATCGGTCTTAAAGAAATCGCGTGACTGCTAAAATTTATATAAGTGATTAACGGAATGCACCAACGTTATTTGGACTTTAAGCGAGGCTTAAAACTCTCTCTGTCTCTGTCTCTCTTTCGGTTTTAAAAGAGATAGAGAGTTTTAAGCCTCTCTTAAAATCAATTAGTATAGTGGAGCAATCGGGCCTAAGAATATGATAATTAGTACTAACTTTATGATTTATATTATAGTTTCGATTTATTATTTTACGAATGATTTATTAGTTTACATAGACATGTATATATGTTTAAAACTCAATATGATACTCGATTTTTATTAAAACTTGTAATTTTAATGTTCGATCATCAATAGAAGTAATTGTAGAAAAAAATTGTAATTATGCGGCAATAGAAAAGGTGTAAACATACATCTATATTGGATGAAGATATATAAATCTAGATCATATTAAATTTAATATATCAATATTTTTAATTTTAAAAAATAATTGCATATAATATAATTAATAGAAATAAACCATGATAAATAAAGATTTATAAATTCTATTAGATCTGTAAAAAAAATTTCAACCAAGCAGAAAGAAACGTTTTTTTCTTTATATTGAAGAAAAAAAGAAACATAAATTATAAAAAGAAATAAGAAACCGTGGAAGAGTTTAACAAAATAAAAAACAGACCTCTTTCTTTTTACATTAGAGGAAAAAAAGAACATATTTGAAAAATGTTTAGCTATGAAAAGAACAGACCTATGAAGTAAAAAGAATTAGTGGAAGTGTGACTTCTTGCTGTTATACTTTTTGTGTTTAAAATCGATAACAATTTATTGAAGAGAAAGAGAGGAAAGAGAAATAAATATAGTCTCTAACCAGAGAAAACTGATTTAACATACACAAAGAACAAATTAAAAGGAATTGTTTCTCTGTTCGCATCTATAGATTGTATTCTCATGGGTCATACACCGCCATATACCGGTCTAGTTATTATGATTATTATTTCTCGTTCCTCCGATCTATTCCGAGTTGCTGTCTGAGTGCTCCGACTTCTACTACGCTGTAAAGTGTAACTGATTGTTGTATTTACCAGTGTTTATATTGTTTCATTTATAAAAATTTTGTTAAGAAAAGCGTGCGGTCTTATCACGCAGAATCATTGCAGTGTCTGCCGTTGTTATCTACCGATCTGATCCCATTCATGATCAGAGAAAATTGTAACAGGGATTGAACAATGACAAGTATTTATTAAATCACTGTATCAAAAGAAGGATTTGTAAAAGAAAGAAAAGAACAGCGCATTTTCTTGTGATCACCGGTAAAAAGTGTTTTTTTGCACATACCAACAGTAGCGTGAAAAAAATTATTATGTACTTATGTACCTTAATCTTTCTATATTTTTCACTTCAAAAACATTAATGTTTACATCAATGTCTTGTATTTAATACGGTATTTCATTCTATTTTTAGATTTTTTTCTATTAAAATAACGAGCATGGCAGAGAAATGTACAAGTACAAACTTCGGAGTAGACCGTCCACCAGCAAAGAAAGTCAAGTTAGACGAAGAAAGCACAGACGTAGTTGAGAAGAATTTAAGCGAGATTGACACGAGTGAGACAGAGCTAGATCTGTCGGATTTCAAAGTAATTAAGGTACTGCAGAATAACTGTGCTCGAAAGTTAATATGCATGGAGGGAACATTCGAGAATCGCGAGGGCCAGGCGGTTGTCCTGCTGGAGCAAAAGAGTTTCCCTCACGACAAGGTGGTCTTGAAGAATGATTTCTTCGATGGGAAGACAATTTTCCGAAAGGTCTTTACCAATGATGTCTACAGAAATTACAATTGCTTTCCAACTGAGGAAAATAATGGTATAACATTCTGCTTCTATTGATTTTTCATATGTGTATATCTTAATGTATTCTAATCCCTATATTAGTTGCTATTTTATAAAGGAATCTGTTTTATTTTTCAAGGTCTACATGTGACTGTGATATATCCTGCTTCTCAGACACACATTGATAAATATAAGAGACAGGAGTTGTATGTAATAGATGAAACCTATGAACTTTATCAACAAGTGACTCTCCCTTACATTGAGTCGATGAGTCTAAGTTTAGAGGTATAATTTATTTGAAATGTTATGTCGATTCATACTTGGTGTAATTTAAAAAATCATTAAAATAGAAAGCATGTTCGATTTTTTTATATTCTTTCTCTTTTTCAGTGGATTACTAATATTTTGGAACACAAAGCTGAACAAGAAAGTATTATTTACGAGGACTCTGACAAGGATAATGGTTTTGTATTAGTGACAGATTTCAAATGGGATGGACAAATGGATACATTAAAGTTATTGGCACTGCCATTTAAAAAAATAAAATCATTGCGAGAGTTGAATGGATCTCATCTTTCTTTATTGAAAAACATACGAGATGCTGGAACGGCAGCGATTAGTAAAAAGTTTAACATACCTACGTCTCAGCTCAGAATATATTTCCATTATCAGCCATCATACTATTATTTACATGTGCATTTCTGCTATCTTATGTTCGAGGCACCAGGTAAATTATTATAAAAGAAAATTATAAAAATAGAAAAATATGTATTTATACATAAAAATATATGTATATTTACATATCGAAATATACATATATATTATTTTATGACTAAAAAGTGGATATTTTAATTGCAATATATTATCTTCATGTAGGAATATATGTGGAAAAAGCGCATCTTTTATCAACAGTTATAAGAAATTTGGAACTGATGTCGGACTATTATACGAAAGCAGTACTTACGTATGTCGTGTTTAAAGGAAGTCCACTTTACGAAAAGTTTAAATCTCATGGAGCTTTACAAACATCAACGTGTGAAACACAAGAGACTGTAATATAGTGTAAATAAGACTGCGTGTTTTACTTCAAAAAAGCGTAAATTATATTTTACGTTTATATACAATATAATAAGAAATTGATATGTATTTTATTTACTACTTGAAAATAAGAAAAGACAATCACTAAACATGCAGTGTTTTAATCAGAAACATTTTCTATAGAAATAGCGTAATCTTATACGTTGAAGAGCGTCTTGTTCGTCCTGAACGTCGAGGTGAATGTTGTATGTGAGTCCGCGATAACATTAAAGTTATTTAGTCTAACCGAAATACGTGTTGGTCTTCCTAGTTGCTTGTCATATCCTACTCCCGTTGAGAATCCTGACACCTTGCTTTCGTGGAATACTTCATGCGAAGCGAACATTATAAGAACGTTTCAAAAAATCTTTACAACTTCGTATGAATAAAATATATTAGAATCATAATTATTGTGAATCTTAAATTATTTATAGCTGAAAATAGTAAAAGAAGATGGAAGACTGAAGAGTACTTATTTTTTAACCATTTTTTAAAGTCATATATGGTACAAATATATTTTACATAAAAATGAATAAAAAAAAAATATAACAATATATTTATTAAAAAAAAAAAATTATTTAAAATTCAATATATCATAAAATTTCAAGATTTTTTATTGTGTAAACATTTATTGAATTTAAATAAAAACGAGAAACTATACAAAGTTTTTCTTTGCACTATTTACTTTAAGTAAAAAAAAAAACATATTTTCTCATTTCTGTTGCAATATAGTTGCAATGAAGAAACAGGAACTTCGAAAATAGAGACAATTAAAAATTGACCTGACAAAACGTAATTGCAAACTCGAAAGTGTTATGTCCATCTACAATAGGAATAATATTATGTAGTGAATTGTAAGCTGTATGAAATTAACTTCACATTTGATAATGACTATAATTGATTTCTTACGGTTTAGGATTTATTACACTGTATTGTTCCTTTTATAGGCAACCCTTTATTATATTTACACGAGAAACATTTATATAAAAGTAGATTGTGTGTATAAGATGTAATGTAATATAGATTGATAAGGACGAAAATAATAAATATTTCATTACTTATATTTTCTCTCGTCGCTTTTAAACCTTTTTATTCGTTTGTATTTGTATAAGATGCATTGACACATTTAGTAGAGAGCAGTAAAGTATTTCTGAAACATAAGAAAAGAAACTTGTATACATATACATACGTACGTACATATATCTGTGTATATGCATTCTTGGTTTATTAAAAATTCACAATCACGTTGCATAATACAGATTTCTTTCGATTTGCAATAATCATTCAAAAAATAATATAATATTCATTCGTATCTAAGAGCAAAGTAAAAATCATCGTTCTCAAAACTAATAAGAACCTGTAAGTATAATTGTGCTTTAATCCTAACATAAAATGTGTTAAAATTGAATTTTATATTACTGCGTTCTGTATATTGCCAGCTAAAATGCTTGCTTTCTATATTACTCTATAATTGCTTACATTGAATGTATTTTATTGCATTTATAAAAAAAGAGACCATTGATCGCGAATCGATGTTACTCACAAGACCAATTTCTACAATTTTAACTGTTGTTTCTATATATACAAGCAGATCTACAAGAACTCGTTCATTTTCATTAAAGGAGATAACGTTTATTCAAAATAAATCAGAAATGTCGGATTGTGTCGCCAGAGTGTCGGCCTCAACATAAACTATTCACATAAATCATGGAAATTCCTCTTCTTGTTTTTAATCACCGAGGAAAAGAAAGCTGCAAATATAAATATTCAACGAATAAAATCGTAGGGCAAATAAAAATACAATGTCATTAATCGTATCACAGTGCACCAGAAAAATTGGAGTTTTAATATCACTGTAGTCACATTGATGTATAAACTATACGCAATATATATATCAGTTTTTACAATGTTTATTTTAATAAATATTGTTATAGAGATCATTTGTAGCATAATATACAATAAAAAGTCATCTATTATTAATATCATCGATAATCTCTACTTCCTTATGTTTTAGAAATCTTGTATAATTATATCATTTGAATGTGAATATTTGTATGTTTGAAAATAATTCTTAGGCGTGCGCGTGTTTCTTTTTCAACAAACAATTTTATTTATTTCATACGGCTTCTGAATTTTCCTTTTTTTTTTTTAAACAACAAAAATGACAGAGAAAAAGGCAAAGCAGTATGGATTTCTGTATAGCGAAGTTATGAATCATATCTCTCTCTCTTCTATGAAACTTACAATATTAGGATATGCAAGAAGAGGAATCTCAATGTGTTCTTATAATTATCTTTAATAGGAGATTAGAGTATGATCTCGAAAGGATAAAAGGAAAATTTATAAAGCATGTATTTTAATATGAAAACAAAAGTCAAATATATTCTGTATGACCGATAGACAGAAAATATGCAGAAGAGAAGGATCATTATAAATACAAGATTAATGTAGTATTGGCCAGAAATGCCATCGTTTGAAACAGGATTTCTCAAAGCTTGGTTACGAATTAACAGTAGAAACGCATGTATGATAGTGTCGTACATATGTATATACTTCGTGAGTTTTACGATCACAATCGTAAAGGTTCTCTTAGCCAGATTATTTTTCTCTTTCTTTTTAAATTCGCTGCCTTATTTATATGATACATATCACATACACAAATATATATATATATATATGTGTGTATATGTATGTGTATATATATATATATATAAATTATATGCAGCAGGTTGAAACGCACGTGCGTTCTCTTCAGTTAGGCGTAATGTCACTTGCTTGATTTGTTTTATCTCCAGAAAAAGATTACAGTATGTTTTATAAATTTCACTCTACGAGATATCCAGCATGTCGGTTTTGTAATAAATCGTTAATAAGGGCATTTGCGTGTACGGTCGCGCAATGTATGAGATCAATAGCGGTGTTGCTGTTGCTGCATTTAATATGCTATATTCGTCGCTCGCGACGATATAAACTTAATTGCTACGCAATGACAATAAGTATAAGTACGCATGTGTTTGTGGAAGCGCACAAGACGTTAATAACTAATACGTAAAAAAAAAAAGAAAAAAACAGACGTCCGCGATACTTTTTCCATTATATTTAAGGTCAAATTCGAGACGCCGAAAACCTCGTTAAAAAACCGAAAAAGCTTTTTATTGTCAATTCGCCAACTTAATAAATTAGTTATGTAATATCAGAGAACTTACAAATTATTCAGGAAGCAAGTATTACAAAAAGTACCTAAATCTTCTTTTGTGCATGTCTCTCTTTCGCTCTCGCTCTCTCACACACACGTCCAAGAAGAATGTCGAACAAAATCAAACATAAAAATTAAGTACCTTGTTACGCACGTCTTCCTCTTGTCGCGCGAAATGAAACAATGCATTTGGAAATAGGAAACTTACCTATTAGCGATCGATTAATTATTTCATTATTAATTTATTATGATAAGAGAACGTTATGTAGTAACTAAAATAATTATACACATATATGTATGTGTATACGCATAGACGACCGCATATGCACGCGATGTACGAGTATACACAAATAAATATGTAAAGCGAATGCATATTTACATATGACGATTATGTAAATGTGTATCTGTGTATATGTATTGCGCGCGTCTGTTTTTCTTTGTGTATGTGAGAGTGTGTGTGTGTGTGTATGTATATCACAATAACTCAATGTATACGATATTATCTCACATAATATTAACTGCTTATCAAGCCAGCCTTCTTTCTGATGGAATTAAATCCAAGATAAGTAAATTAGCCAAAAAGTGAAAAAAAGAAAAGAAAAGGAAAAAGAACCACTACAGCACACGTCCTGGGCTCATGTTTTTGAATCTATATCGCATACAAAAATCTATAATAGACGTAACATACTATAGTATTTTCGTATGCGATATTTTTTCAAGAATAAAGTCCTTAGTCAGGTACACGTATTCACAATACTAATTGATACTCTTTTTTTTTTTTTATACAAATCAATAGCTGTTTTTAACTTTATTTTTCTTTTTTCTTTACTGACAAGCCTGTCGGTCAAACCTCGTTGTCCAATTAAATCGGCAGATATCTTAGTCACCGTAACATAAATTGACTTTTTTTTTATAGTAAAATAACTATTCCACGCAAGTGCCCCAACAATTACACCGATACGTTTACGAAGCGGTATCAAAATTCCTTTCCGGTAAATATGTACATGTCTATATCGTCCTCGCTACGTTATTTGTGTGCAAAATGTAAACAAACGCAAATCTAAATCGAAACTTATAAACGATTTTATTCGCAAGATCAAAGTTAAGTATAAGTAATATCTTCGACACTGGGACAACAATTCGGAAATAGAAATGCATGTACGGTTTATCATTTCTTTTCCCCAATAAACTAGCAACCATCGAAGTTATTTCATTGCACTTAAAGTACACGAATACACGATATACACGTTACTAACATATGCAAATTAGAAAACTTCTACGTAATTTTCTTATAAGTAACAAACTCGCACTGCTCTTTTGAAAAGACAAATTTAAAATTTAATAATAATATACACATTGTGCAGGAAAGCCTTTACAACGTCGTCCTTTACGTGGATCATCCGAGAAATTGTGGACTCATCACAATTGACATTATCCAATGAGCCCAAATGCTAAATCTTAGTAAAGTGAGAGGGTTCTGTATTCTTTTTTCCATAAAAGGCAAAAAGTTTGAATGTTGAATACCTATTAAATATTCGTGCTTGTAGAACTTCCTCCTTCGCTTGACTAGTTGGTCATGATCCACTACTAGTGTCCACAAGTAAATTGTCATGACAGTGCTTTGTATGTACAATTATGGAAGAATGACCTCGTAATAGTTAACAAGTTTACACAACATTTGCAACGTAATGAAGCAAGTACTGGCTTTCTTGCGGATAGAATAAAAACGCCAACTTTATTAATGTCAATTAATTATTCAATCAATTCTACACACACACACGCACACACACATACTCACACACATACTCACACACATACACACACACACGCACACACGCACACACACACACACACACATAATCTTTGATCATTATTGATTAATCATTCGTAATGCCATTGTATGCTCTTAAACAAGTCTTCCAAATACTCCACATTAAACCAATTAAAATTAAAAATAACAATTTTTATCAATTTTTCAAGGTAAAGATACATTAATCTAAAGAAATCAGAATTATAAATATAGCACCCATTATTAAACAGTGTAATTTGTGAATCA